CGTAAAGAAACCCTCGAAGGAGCTTATAAAACGCTCACCTAACAAAATCTACGATACAGTAATAATATAAAATAATGTCACTTATTAATAACATAATCCTTATGCCAAGCCGGACGTTTCTTGTGTCGATCACTTCTTCGCTCACGGGCCTCCTCCTGCTCTTCGGTACGACCGGCCCGAACCTCTGACGTTATGTCTGGGACTCTAGCCTCCGTCATATCCGTAACTCCGTCCGTATCAGGTTGTTTCCAAAAAGACCTCCGGCATAAAATTAAAAGTAGGACAAAGAAAGAAACCACATTGTCCACGTCAACATGAACAAAGTACACACAAAGACAAATCAAGCACGCAAACCGGCTCTAGAATTTAGACACTAAGCACAAAAACACGCATGCACCCTGCCACCCGCTAGAGACCAAGGCATAAAAAACACCCCAGTATATACTAAAAATGAAGGGTCTGAGGCCCACATTGTTGGGATAAAAAATACTCTCATTCACAATCTAGATGATGAACAAGAAAAGGAAAAAAACGAAATCCTAGGAGAGAGACGAATAAACCGTGGTAACACCCCATGGTTAAACTCCATTGTGGTAAGGCTTGATAACTCAGAGTATGTAACTACATGCTATAAATTATAGCTACACGAAGAACAGAAGATATTCGTACAACCTGAAATTTGGGTCCGGGAATGTGAACGATACTACTCTCTGTATAAGAAAACAATACATCAAATATCAATCAGGCTCCATAACCGAACACATACGTTTACCCAACTACTCTAATCCAAAATCTCCAAATGTTCTTGTTTAAGGTCATATCCTGAAGACTGAAGTCATAAGTCTTCTGTAATCAACTCATTTTTACTCTTCCTAGGTCTACACCTGCCCCTTCTCACGCCCACTACCACAAGTAGCCTGTTTGGTTTTTTGACAAAATTTTTTAAAAACTTGGAAACAAACACTATACTTAATTCTGGAAAATGAGAGTATATAAAGATGGAGTATATATGTACCACAACTGCCTTGATCTTTAACCTGAGTAACAGCTCCTTTATCCCTCCAATCCAACGAAGCTGGAACAGGATAGTCTCCGGGACTGGGCCAGGAATCCAAGACCGGCCCACCACGGTTCAATCTGATCAGCCCATCGTTCCGGGAGGCCGAGAGACCCAAGTAAGCGGCTTTGAACTCGTGGTGAGTGAGATCTGCGAAGGCGTTGAGGGCGAGGGTGTAGCTGGAATTACCGGCGCCATTGTGCCGCGAGACATAGGCGTAGTTGTCCTCGAACACCTTCAGCCGGCGCCGCCTCTCTTGATCGGAGGAGTATGTTTTACCGCCGTGTTGCCGGCACCAGTCGTCGAAGAGATCGGAGATTGACGAAGTAGAAGAAGAAGATGACGACGATGATGTGCACCGGGGCGCCTGGAAATGGATGAACAAGCCCAGGTATAGAAACTGCCATAACCAACCCATTTTTTGTACTGTGATTTATTGAGAGAACGGAAAACTGATCGTGGGAGAAAATCAGAACAGAACATTATGAGATAGTCAAAGGACCAGATTGGGAGAATCAATGAAAACCAATTTTTAAATAACTCAATATTCATTTTCTTTTTTAAATTTAATTATGATTAAAATTGTGTATTACTATGTTATACAAAAATAAGCATTCAGTTATTCAAAAATGAGTATTCAGTAAATGTATTAAAAAAATTGTACACTGGTTGTATAGTTTAGGTACTCATTCTACCTCGTCCCAAAAAGGATTCAATTTACTATTTCAGCTTTATGATACGGAATAATTTTGTGTGTGTTTGTTTTTATTGGTTATTTGATAAAATAAAATATTTTTATTACTATTTATTTTAAAAAACTTTTGATGTACCGAGTAATTTTTAAAATTATAAGTTGTACTTGCAATTTTAAAATAACATGTGTTTGATAGATTAGTCCGTATTAGGGTTGTAAACGAACCGAATTGAATCGAATATTCATGAAAAATATTCATATTCGTTAAGATGGAGTGGTATTCGAATTCGAATTCGAATTCGGTTCGAATATTTTTTAAGATTCGTATTCGGTTCGTTTAACATATTAAACATATTCAGTTATATTCGATTCGTTTAAATATATTCGGTTCGTTTAAAAATATTCAGTTCTTTTAGATTTTAAAATATTTTATAACCATTTGACATATATATATATATATATATATATATATATATATATATATATATATATATATATATATATATATATATATATATATATATATATATTATTCCGAATATATTTGTCAAACTCACGAATCGACTACCCTTGATTCATATTCGTATTCGATAAGGATTCGAATATTTATTCAGATTCGTATTCGGATTTGAAAAAATCGAATACGAAACACCTTAAATGAATACGAATCACGAATCAAACAAAAAATATTCGTTTCATTTACATCCCTAGTACTCCGTATCCATGATACTGAAATTCATGAGAATAAGAAGCATCAATTTTTCATTTAATTTTTCACTAGTGATATATTTTACACACTTCTATTTCAATTTCTTTTTTATTTTATTTTATTGTTTCCATTTGTGTGCAGGACATAAACGGGGACAGCCATAAAACTCAAACCTTTTCTTAGCGAGAAGAATCAACAGAGCAGATGAAATGATCCGGCTTTGATCCAAAACCTTATCCCGCAAACCCTAAATTAGCTATAAATCTCTTCTTCTTCTTCTTTGGGGAACAATTTCCAGCAGCACAATCATCTACAAAGATTCAATTGATAGTCACCACTTCGAAGAACATTGGGATCGAATCTTCACTGCTTCACTATATTCGCCCACTCTCAATCTGGAATATTCACACCGCGACCTAGCCAGGTATCTGTTAGCAGAATCATTAAGGGAAGTTCCGGACAAACAAGCCTGTTGTGATGATGATGATGGACCTGGATCCCCCACAAGACCAAGACACTGTATGCACTTTTTCATGGTTTTTGTTTGATTATTTGCTTCCATTATTGTCTGGTACTCCGGTTGATGATATTTGTCTTGATTCCCCTTCTTATATCTTGTTTTTTGGTCTTGCTTTTGCGGGATTTCATTGATTGTTGTTATTGGAATTGAAATTTTGAAATAAGAACCAGTGTTTGAAGTTAATGAATGAAATCTGCTGCCTTCTAGTGTATAATTTAGCATGGAAGAATTTATTATGCCTCTGAAATTGAGTGGTAGAATTTTCTTTTGATGCAGAGATGCTGTTATTCCTGTTAATGGATCATTATGGTAGTTAAAGTAACTGTTTTGATGGAGCACTGCATTAATTTAGATGCTTATGGAATCTTTGTCTGCAACTTGTTGTCATGAACTTGTTAATAAAAAAGCAATATGATTGCCATCATGACTATACTAATGCAAATATACAACAACAACAACCCCAATAAAATTCCAGAAAAAGTAGGATCTGGGGAGGGTGTGTGTACGCAGAACTTACCCCTACTTGGCAAGAGAGGCTATTTAACAAAATCTAGTGTTCCAGAAAAAGAACGGGGAATTATTTCTTTGCTCATTATCAAGGTTCAAGTAGCTTCCTTACAGAAGTGTAACATAGTTTGCGATGTTAGATTGGTAGAGGATCGTCACTTTTAACAAATTTAGTGCCCCTACGTAGGGGATGAATGCCAATGAGGGGTAAACTTGTGGATCTTGATAGGAGAGTAGTTAATTATACGATGAAAGTTCTTTTCATAGTAATCACATCAATCAATAACAATGTTTCTGATGTAAATGACTACATGAAGTTGCTTTAAGCATAATGTTTCTTGATCTGATTTGACTTTTTTTCCCAATACATCAACTGATTGAACTGCTAATGCTTCAATAGGAAATGGGTAATAGTGATGTGCACAACATTATATTATCATACCTTGTGCACAATAGCTTCAAAGGCACAGCGGAGTCATTTATTGCCAGCACTGGAATGAAGAAACCTGCAGGTTATTGTCTTGAAGATATGGAGAAAAGAAAAAGTAGGTGATCTTTCATATAACCATTCTGGCACATACCTGATTTACTGCCCCACCGGTGCAATGAAATAATATTGTACATTCCTCATTGTATTCCTTCCCACGTTAAACAGCTTAAATTGTTCGTGGCACTATTTACCACGGAATGTTCGCTTTCACTTCCAATTCTACTCACGTGTGGAATGAATTCCATAAATAAACTCTTTTTGATGCATCATTCTTATCCCACAAATAAATATATTCAGGAATATGTAATTTCATAATAGAGGGTAGTGTTCTGAAGGCAATTGAGCAAACAGAACAACTAGCACCAGACATACTGGAGAAGAACATGGATCTGCATTTTGATCTACTAGGCCTTCATTTTGTTGAATTAGTATCCTCAAGAAGAAGGTGAGCAACAGCAGGACGAATGATTCTGCTTTCTTTTTTTTTCAGTGAGGGAGAGTGAGAGATTTTTTCTCTCCGTTTTACTTTACTGATTAAATTTGCAGCAATGAAGCTCTTAAATTTGCTCAGGCAAAGCTAGCCCCTTTCATGAAGGCCCAAAGTTTTCTTCAGAAGCTTGAGGTACGTAATGTATAATTTACTCTCCAGAAATAATAACTACATTAAGAATGTCCCCCTTCTATCATTTTTTTTCTTCAAAAACCGAGAATGCATATGTTACCTGCAGGACTTTTTATCTCTGCTCGCCTTTGATGAACCAGAAAAGTCACCCATGTTTCACCTACTTAGCTTGGAACATCGACAACATGTTGCAGACAGTTTGAATGGGGCAATCCTTGGTTGTTCTTCTCTTTCTATTGTCATGTTATTATCGGTCATTTATATTTTAAAAAGTTTCCTCGTGAAGAACTTTCTTCATTATTTATATATTGTCATATGCCGTGGTAATTTTGTAGCACATGAAAACCAGCCCAGATATTCAGTGTTGGAAAGGTTAATACAGCAGACAACCGTGGTGAGACAATGCTTAAGCGAAGATCCGGCTAGCAAGGTTATTAGTGATTTTTAAAAAAAAATAAAATTAACATATGATGTAAAGTGTTGGTTTGTTACTAGTGTGGGATTTTACTGAATTTATTGTAGTGTGTTGAGTGTTTTTTTTTTTTTGCCAATTTGCATGTAGGAGGGCAGCCAAGCATTTTGCTTCAAGGACTTCATCAAGAAGAAGAGCTTATAAGTCCTTTTTTTTTCATGTTTTAATTCAAGCACCGCTACTTGAATGGAATTGGGAGCGTCTTCCCCTTGCTGCTCGCCCCTAACTTCATAGAAACAAAAACATTAACTCTCTCACCGTGCAGTATTTATACACTGTTACTTCGAGTTATTGTTGCCAATTTTGTGTGCATTCTTCTCTTCTTCCCTGAGGACACGAGTACGGTGATACATTATTTGTTCTATATTAAATTCATTCTTCCATATTAAATTCATGTGATGTTATTATGCGGAGCGATATCCCTGAATTGTGGATGCTCTAATGGTATAAGTACTTGTATTAGTGTTCTTATAGGATATGTCAATTTTCAATAAGTGCTAAAGTGAACTATGGAGTTCATTGCTATGTGATGTGAGCTAGAAAGAAAACACTACCTCCTTTTGTAAAGATGTGAAAAAGATGTTGAATAATGAATAATGAGTGATTAATTCTTATTTTAAAGAGAAATATTTTAGACCATATTCTTTTCTAAAAAGAGAGTCCTCTTTTAAAAAGTGAAAATGAAAACAATAATTTTCAAACGGATGAAAAAAGAAAGTGGTTTTTTTATGAGATGAAAGGATTAAGTTGAAAACAACTACCAAAGTCATGTTAATGAGCTTTTTTTCTTGTAAAGGAGTACTATTTTGTTCAGTAAGTTTTTTTAAAGTGTTCTTTCTATGGTTAAAACTTTTAAGCTTCTTAAGCTTTTTTGTCTAATGTTTCTTTTGGCTTGTTCTTCGACTAAAAAACATCTAAAAGTAAATTTTGAATAAATCATTTCAAATTTCCAACATTTCTACCTCGTGGAGCTAGTATCTATTTAGCAACATCTTTTTAGCTTTAGCATTTCTAAAAGACTATCTAATACGGAGTAATAGCATTTGGCTTTAGCATTTTTAAAATTAATTTACAAAATTAAAATGTTGTTTAAAAAGCTCATTATTTCCAAATGAAGCCTTACCCAACCATTTTAGAGCAACCATGATATTATTTGTGCATTCTCAAGTCTTATAGAGTAAGAAGACAAGCAACACTAATGGTACACAAACTACTAATCAGATGCATCTCTTCTTCCTCCACACCACAGATACATCCACCCATCATATGGTGGCCCGCCCGGCGCCCTTGACCGACGACTTCCAATACCTGTTAATGAACCACAACGAGTCACCTTCCACGGCGAACCCATCTTGATTCCTATGCCAACCGAAATGGGCATGTGTCCTGTTCTTGATATTCAACATCCCATGCCCAAAGCTCGCCTCCCTATACGCCGAGTAACTTGGCTGTGGCTCTGTCATCCTATACATACAACAACAATAACAACAACTCAGAAAGGTCCCACAAGTGGGGCCCTAGAGGCTAGTGTATGCCGACCTTACCCCTACTATGAAGTAGAGTCACGCATATATGAAGTAGTATATCATAATAAAAACACATACTCGATAGCTAATCCTTCCGAGTTCCCTCCATCTCCTATGGTTATATAGACAGGGGCAGATCCGTCTTTTACAGGAGTGCACAATCCATTCACAATGTTGTACGCAATATTCGACACACGTTCCTATGAACAAGACAAACATTTTGTTATTAAAAAAAATATAACCCATAAAGATGAATAAGCGAGAACCCAAACGGGGCATTAACAACAACAGCAACCCAATGAAATCCCAACCCCTTGTAGAAACATAAAGAATGTAGTATAATCTTATTGGACTTGACTGATCATTAGGAAGCTAATGTATATACTTACGGATCTTTCATAAGAGTGAACATGACCGGCAAAGACAACATCAACTTTGTACTCCACAAACCATGGTTCGTACAGCACTCGCATTGCTTCCCCTTCCATATAGTGGTGTGCGTTGCTACTGTACATCGGGCAATGCATGAGCACAATCAGCCACGGCGTCTCACTTCTGTTCACTTTCGGCAGTTCGCCTTCCACCCATTTCCACTGCGGTGTGTAGACACCTGTCCCAAACCAAAATATGTAAAAAAAAAACATGTTAGAGACACAAAGGTTGAATTCAATGTAATTCTTTAACAAGAAACATTTGTGTGTATGTGCTATAAATGAGTTCTTACCAAAAGCCGAGTAAGAAGACATGACAATGATATGTGCCGAAGCTCTTTTTATAGAGTACCATAATGGAGAAGTGCTCCCTGATGCTTCAAATGGCACGAAAAACCGATGCGTGTATGGTTTGAATGGTACAGTTTCACCCTGAAAATAGAAACAGGTTAGGAGTAGTCATTACTATTCTAAGGCCATGTTTGGTAAACTGGAAAAAGATACATGTTCACTCATGTCATTACATTTTGTCTTACCAAACTACCTCTAAGCGTGTTTTACACTAAACATGAATGCTTAAAAAGAAGAAAAGGGGATACATACAATGTGAGGGACAGAGTCGATCTCATGATTTCCAACCGTCCAAATCCACGGCTGATAAGCGGCACTCCTCTCTATAAACCTTCCCCATGTATCCCACCTATTGTTATCGTGATCTGGATACCTATCCGCGTAGGACAGGTCTCCTACGAATAGCAAAGACTGTCCTTTCACTGGGTTGAATTGATAATGCGTTAACGTGTTGTTTGAATCATGGGTCTGACCAAGATCCCCTGTTCCATCATCATCACTTCAGTTCATCAATCCAAATAGATACAGAAACAACAAACCCAGTAACATCCCACAAAAAATAGGATCTGGAGGCAGAATTGATGCATAAGAATACAATATTAACAACAATAATAATAATACCTATCAAACCAAATGTATATGGAACATCGGGTCCTGGTTTAGGAGGAGTAACAAACCAAAACTGCCGGGTCGTAGAATCATCACCCAGTCCCCCCGCCAATTCATAATAGTATTTTGTATCATACTGCAGAAATATA